AGATTCTTTATTACTTCAATTTATAACATGAATTATAATGTGATTCGTATCATTTTAATTTTCTTTATAACAAAAAACCATGTTAATAAACAGTATATTACTCTTAGGGATGACAAAGGTTGGATTAGACCTAGTCTCTATCCAAAATCCAATCTGCCAAACAAAATATATATTCTTTATTTATTTCATTATTCATCGAATATTTATTTAAAAACTATTTATAAATATTTTAAAATTTAAGACTATTCTAAATATTTAAAAAAAATATTTTATAAATTTTTAAAGTAAAATTTTAAAAAAATATAAAATATAATAAATATTAAATAAAATATAAATTAAATTTTAATTAATTAAATTTAATCTATTAAAATGTATATTGATTTTAATTTTAATTAAATAAAATATAAATTAAATTGTTGTTTTAACTTTTACAAACAATAGATACTCATAAATACTAATAATATAATACCATACTTAATTCATTTATAAATAAATATTAAAATATTTACAATAATAAATATAAGCAAATACTAAATATATACACAGTAAATTTGATATTTTTCACATACTCTTTTATCTCATGTGATACTACCAGTGTGTAAAAATAGATGAGAAGTATAATATGACATCTTTCACATGTTTTAAAGCATTTAGATAAAGTCTTTGCATAAACCCAAATCCAACACGTCATGTTTGGAACAATAAAGTGACTTGAAAAAAAAAAAATGAAATATTTTTTAATATATTATATATTACGAGCTCTTACATGTGTTGCCTGAGAAAATAACCTTTGCTGAAAGAATGAACAACAGGAAATCAAGATCTGGCAGTGAAAAGTTAGTCACCATTTCTTACATAAAAATATAAGACAAACATTTTTAAAAAATTATAATCTCGTAAAAAAATTATTAGTTTCTTATAATTCATATTTGACCTTAAATTATTTTTCTTAATATTATTAATATTAACAAATAGATTTTAAATTTAATGCAATTTTTTTATTACATATTAAACATTGAATTAAATATCTATAAAATAGAGAAATAGATATAATAAAAACAAATTATAAAGATAAACTTTATCATAACATAACTCATATATCATATTAATATATTAAGAAGTAACTTTAAATTTTAACTTAAGCAGGTTATTTATATACTATAAATCAATCGATCTTGGATTCATTTGAAGATTAAAAATACTTTAAAATTGGGTGATATTATGGTATGCAACAGTGAAATTTATGCTCTAATTCTGAAATTCTTGTGGTAACAAGCTGTACACAGCAAAAGTGAATAATGGAAACTATATAATGCTATATGTAGCTTCGTGTTGAAGGGATATTCATATGTTGTGGCTAAATTTGCACCATAGACATCTTGTAGTTGGTGGTGCAGTGATATCAGTATACTGAAACAAAAGCTAGCAAACAAGCATCGAAATTTCCATTATCTTTTCTGCCAACTTATGCCCTTAAAATTTTGATTAAAGCTCCACCACTGCTTTCTAAGTGTTTTTAGATAAAATGAAAAATATGGTTAAGTAACGATGATGATTGACGATGATACAACCAAAAAAAAAAAAAAAGATAAACACTTAAAATTCTTATATATATAAATGCAGGCAATTTTGATTGGGTAACAAATTTTCTAGCTCTCACTGCTGAACTGCATGATCTTCATCAACTTGCCAGTATGTGGGGTACATATATATATAACTGGTTAAGATTAAATATATTAATCAGTTTTCATTAATCATTCGTTTCATAATATAATATATATTAATCAGCATCTACATCAATACTTATTCAAGTAGCATTTCTCTTTGTTATATAATAGTAAAACAACAGCTAGAATGTGCTTTTTTGCAATTTTTGAATAGTCAACCTTGGGAATATACAGACCCTAAGTTCCAATGATAATAAGGACAAATATGCATAGGCAATGCATCGACCAAGTTCATTTCACCACAAGCTTATGTTTAACTTTCCAAATTGAAATAAAAAAAGTAAGTAAAAGAAAAGGTATTAAGTAAATAGTTTCGTTCTTTTCAATTCAACTGGTCAATTCAATCCTCATTTTCCAGACTCAGACAAATTTTATGTGCCATGCATTCATTTGTCAAGTTCTTGATGATTAGGTGAGTTGCCATCTCAAAACTCTCACATACCTCTGTCACCCTATTTATATGTTGTAGCCTTTTCCTTTCATCATCTATAAACTCATTTATCCATCTTTCTGAGCCTTACTTTGCAATTAAAATGGCACTTTCTTCTTCTTCTTCTTCTTCAACCACTTTTGCTATAGCTTTGTTCACGCTTTTTCTTATTGGAAGTTGTTCAGCTCAACTCTCTGAGAACTTCTACGCAAAAACATGTCCCAAGCTTTCATCTGCTGTAAAATCTGTGGTTCTATCTGCTGTGGCTAAAGAACCTCGCATGGGAGCTTCTCTCCTTCGCCTCTTCTTTCATGACTGCTTTGTCAATGTAAATTACTCTAACCTAAAATCTTTACTTTTTATTTATCATAGTTATATATACTGTAATACTTTATCTGCTCCTTATATTTAGCAACAAAAATTTCCAAGTTATGTTTTTCTATGTTTCACGTACGTATTCCTTCATGAAGGATATAATGGACGTTGAGCATGGATAATTGTAACACTAAAATACAAGTATTTCATAGTGTAATATACTATGTTGTTTTTGTGTTACGTACGTTATTGACAAATCATACGTATTTGTTTTTCTTTCTTTCTAAGTTTCTATCACTTTCAAAGGTCGTATTCGATGATGTGACATCACCAATAATATGACACGTTCAATGCATAAAAAAATTAAGTGAAAATGTTCTTATCCAATGTTTTCATGGCATGTAAACCACTTCTTTTTAAAACATAGGGGTTTTGGTTATTCCGCCCACAGGCCATAGGTCCGAAAATCTCTGATAAAATATTTGAGCATATTTAATACTCTTAATCAATTAGAATCATCATGTAATGTAATATAATATAATACACAGAATATCTCCTTTGAATAATATATTAATTAAAAACAACACACTGATTAGATTATGTAAAGTAAAGTTTCATTAGTATTTCCAACCAGAAGGAAAAGACAATCAATTAGAAGCACTATTTGCCAACACCCATGGATTTCAAAATGGATTAAATTGAAGTAAACTTATTTAATCTGTAAAAATGAATTGGTTTAAGTTATACTTTTAATCCGCTAATTTTTGTAAATTCTATGATTTATTAAACATTGTTCTGTCACACATCATTACGTGAACTTTTGAAAACTTCATGTTATTTTGTTTAAGTAAATATATAGAAATAGTTTATTTATATACAATATCAAAATTACAATAATTTGTCGAACTAAGTTACAAACATTGATAGCATCCTTATAATTAAACTTTGTAGCTCTTTAAACATGCGTTTTATTAGTTTAAAAAGGCTTCATGATTACATATATATAGAACTAATTGGTGATATATTGTGTGTTGTTAACTGGAAATAGGGTTGTGATGCATCAGTACTACTTGATGGGCCTTCCTCAGAGAAGACTGCACCACCCAACGCTAATTCTTTGAGAGGCTATGAAGTCATTGACGACATCAAGTCAAAGGTGGAGGCAATTTGCCCCGGAATAGTCTCGTGTGCTGATATAACAGCCATTGCTGCTCGTGATTCTGTCACTATTGTGAGTACTAAACCAACATATATATGTTAATTTGTTATGAGAAACCAAATCATATTCAAATTTAAAATTAAAAAGAAAAACTCTTACACATTTTATAACTGATCAGTAGTTATGTTTTAATTTTCACAAATCGTGCATGATTATATATTATGATGATATATTCCTTCCATTTCTCATAATATATAATACATCACCTACATGAAAAGTTTTCAATAGACTCTGGGTTATTCAACACCTACATATAGGGAAAAAACAGAAAGGAAAGAACATAGGTATGAGTAAAATGATATGTGAATAAGAAAATATAAGGATTAATTTATGGTTTATGCAGCTTGGAGGGCCATTTTGGAAGGTTAAACTTGGTAGAAGGGATTCCAAGACTGGATTCCTCCAACTTGCAAGCAGTGGTGTTCTCCCATCTCCATCTTCTTCCCTCAGCACCCTTATCTCAAACTTCAAAGATCAAGGCCTCTCTGCCACGGACATGGTAGCCTTATCTGGTATACGTCCTTTTCTCTTTATCTAGTTTTGCCCTTATTTCTCTTCCAATTGCGTGACACAATCTGCATTATTGCTAATACCATTCGGACTTTTCAAGACCACAGTGTACTATACTGATAAGAAGAAATTTTCTTTATCTATACAGTACTTTTACAACGCTTACAAGAAATAAACGTTAGAAATGTGAATAATATTAATATATAGATGAGTACTTTGACAAAGTAAAGTAAAGAAAACAAATTTCATTGTATAATACGGTATCTCTTTACTTAATAATTACATATAGTGGATATACATGGACCAGATGTGACATTTAAACAACTACGTGCATGCATGTCATGCTCTTCCTCTAGGCTAAAAGCCATGTGTGACTTCTGAACATAGAAGAGTCAAGTTAAAAGAAAAGCTTGTTTAACTAACTGCGAAAAGATATATACATCATTATCGATTGGTAATGTTTAAATGTTTGCACAGCTACGAAAAAAAAGTATATTCATGATATATATATATACTCAAATAATATCTGATATAAAATATCAGTTGAAAAAGAAAAAAATGACCCATATAGAGTAATGATTTTAATTTGATTTATTTTTTGTGTGGTTTTTCAGGAGCACACACAATTGGGAAGGCAAGGTGTGCAATTTATGGAAGTCGCATATACAATGAAAAAAACATTGACAGTTTGTTTGCGAAGGCAAGGCAAAAGAACTGTCCGAGAGACAGCAGTGGGACACCAAAGGACAACAATGTAGCACCACTAGATTTCAAAAATCCTAACCATTTTGACAACAGCTACTACAAGAATCTCATCAACAAAAAGGGTCTTCTTCATTCTGATCAAGTTCTCTTCGATGGAGGATCCACAGATTCACTTGTTAGAGATTACAGCAACAATCAGAGGGCATTCGAGTCTGATTTTGTCACTGCAATGATCAAGATGGGAAACATCAAACCTTTAACCGGCTCAAATGGGGAGATAAGGAGGCATTGCAGTAGACCTAATTAGAGGAGAAACAACAAATAAATTATATAGTGTGTTTTTTATATGTATACACCCTAAAAGTGGGGTAGTTCTTTTATCAGTTCTTCTTAAGGTGTTTTCATGTGCCTTCAAATGTACTTTTGTTTTTGTTTGTTGAGTTCAATTTCAGTTTTCAGTTTCTGTAAGGAATCAATTGTAATTAAAGCATGTTTCTTACATGTAATTTCAGTTTAAGGATGTATACAGACAATTGTAACTGTTTCAGAAAAATAAAGTGGTGAAATAAAGTGGAATGTTGCTTTTTATAAGAATTACTTTTGGTGTGTATTAGTTTACTGAATTAAAGCTATTGAAGATTGAAGAGAATTTTAAATTCAATAAAGTTGTTCGACTAAACAAAAGTATAAGAACAGAGGAATGCAAAGAGTTTTCTCGAATGACAAAAATCATTATGTTATGGTTAGGTTTCACCAAACTGATATGGATTAGTAGTTAAGATATATTTAATTACAGCATTTCATTTGTGATTAGAAATGAAGTTTTTTAAAATAACTCGCTATTCTAATTTCTCTCAAACTCTCAGATTAATAATCCCATAATTAAAATTTTGTATTAGCTTAAGTGGAAGAGAGAAGAAAATATGTTTTGATTTTTGTTTTAAAAGTTAAAAAGATATTTAAAAAAAATTTAATAAATTCATATAATAGAAAAAATGTTTTTCTTATTTTATTCCATAAGATTGATGAGGCCTGTGGTCCAGCATACTAAATTATATCTATTGTTATGTTCCCAATATATTTGAAGGAAGCATGGTCCAAAACTATATTTTCCAATTTCATAGTCATAACTAACTACTTCATTCAAATAGTTAATAAAGGTTGCTTGCAAACTATAAACAAAAAGGTTGGATTAAGAGTACTAGTCAACGACATTACAATCTAATTAATTCTAATCCATCAAACCCTAGCTAAAAAGATTTGACATTCAATGACATAAGAATATGTGACATAAAAGAGGGATAAAGTAAATAATTTTATTAGTTGATAGGAAAATAAATGACTGATATTATGTATAAACATACATAACAAATCATGAACATGTTAAAACTTTAAATCTTAATTTTTTTTATATGAAATTGCTTACTTTATCATCGCTCACTTTAAAAAGGAAGATTAATTTTTATAGATACCCTAATTTCATAAAGCTAAATAAATGTTATTCAATATTAGTTTAGTTTGATGTCTCTTATCAAACCCAATGTCTGTTGATTCTAAGTAACTTGGATAAATATTATAGAATAATTTGCGATAAACTCTAAAACCGAAATAAAAGTCTGCTTTTAAAGTTCTTTCTATTTCTATTTTCAAATTTTTATTTTATTAATAAAAAGGTTTACTATTAGTAATGTTAGGGATGACAAGTTCGACATCGTTTTGAATTAATAATCATATTTTCGAAATATTATTTATTTTAAAGTTTGAAATTTTATTACAGTTTTGTCTTTAAAAACATAAAAGATAAAAAAAATGAATATTTAAATTATGTTTAACCTTAATTTAAATAAGATTATTGAGAATAAAATTATTGAGTATAAGATTATTGAGTATGGTAAAAGTAAGTAAAATAATCCATATAAAGTAAAGTATATCTTCCTCCTTAAAAATGCACTCAAACCCCAGTCAAAAGCTTCAATTTATTACTGCTGAAGAATAAAATTATGAGATTCTCAACTGCGTATTGCAAGCAATATAATCAGTTTAGCATAAGAATGCAACTTATATATCGCTTTAACTGTTGATGCTTATTTTACAACTTCTCTTTCTATTTTATTTCTTAATAAAGTAGTGGTGATTCTTTTCAGAAGGATAAAAAAATAGTGGTGATAACAAGCATAGAAAATATACAAGTTGGATATTAAGTTTTCAAATAGAAAATGAAATGTCAAAACTGGGTTGACAGATCAACTTGTCTTATGATCTCATGTAACTTAATCTGTCATTTGTAAGGATTTTACTTCCTGTACTCCCCACAATTTCTTCTCGCACCCCCTCAAACTTTCAAAATGACTTTATTTCTTTTGGAAAAGTAACATCCCATTACATATTTTGGAAGCTTTCCGAACAAGCTTTTTTTAATTTTCAAAACATTTCTGAAACAATTTTCAGAACATAATTTCCGAAACAAATAATGTTTGAAATAAATTTTCCAGAATAACATTTTTGAAAAAAATTCCAGAATTTATAAAATGCTTTCCAAAATGAGTTTTCCAGAATACTAATACATAAATTTCATTTCGGAAAGATCTTTCCAAAACACATACAATAGTGGTATGTCTGATGCAATGGTTAAGGGTGTTTGAGTCTTTTTCAGTATTGTGGGAGTGCAAGAAGCAACAACCCATTTATAATAGGTTGGTTTGGCAGTCACCAAACTAATCCTTTTTGTCACTTCTAATTAGTTTATGCACTCCAAAAAAAAACAATATTCAAGAGAATGTAATAGACAAAGAATATGAATCTGGTAACAAAAAACAACCAACCACACCAGTATCAATTATTTTTTCTTAAAACGCCTGCTAAGTGCTTTCATCAAAGGCAGAAGACATCTCATTGAAAAAGAGATAGTTAGGACATCGGCAAACAAGCCAAATACAAAAGTTACACTTGCATCAAAGAGAGGTGTGCCACATGAGAGACACAATCAATCCTCCTCATACATACATATTAGCCCCCTCACGCCTTTACAAGCATGTGGAAGAAAAAAATATTATGTGCACAATGGAGCGTATAATCCTACATATTCTGCCAACTGGTTCAAAAACTTTGGATGGCCTACCTGGTTGCAAAATTGAGATCAACCTCTCCCACCACTACCATGTCTTTGGCTTCTAAATTGATTAAGGAGCGCAAGGGCCTAAAAAGTAAAAGAAATCCATCATCTCCATTAGTATCAAATGAAATAAAATAAGATAATTAAATTTTGAAAGAACAATGATATTTTATGTTGGGAATCCAAGTATGAGTCTAAATCTCACATCGATTAGAAATGAAAAATTTGAACGCCATATAAGGGTGAAAACCCATTAATCCATTGTCTTAAGGTTTTGGATTGAGAGTGGTATCATTTTCTTATATGGTTAGGTTCAAGTCTCATTGTTGTTGGGTCTCCCTGGTAAACCCTCTCCCTTGATAAACCTAACACTTTAATACTAGAATTTTTTTAAAATCCTTTGACACTATCCTTCACTCGGTCTTTTTCTTTAGAAATACAAAAGTTAACTTTTGTGAAGACCATTTTATCCGTATAAAGGTTGCCAAATGATGTCAAAGAACCTTTTTCCATTATGAAAAGATAAAGAAGCCATACCTTTTCTTTGGCCCTTGGGGTGCCTGATTGTGATAATGCTACTAAAGGTGGCACAGCTCCTTCTTGGAGCACACTGTTTAAATATCTGTGGTTGTCTGAGCATAGATGTAGAAGAGCCGCTGCAGCATTCTCCTTTCCTCTCACAGAGCCCAACTCAATAACCTCAACCAAAACAGGAATCCCACCTTGATCACCAATGGCTGCTTTCCCTTCTGGTATTGTAGCAAGATTTGCTAAAACAGCCACAGCCTTGTCCACCATTCCAGCTGCTGGGTCCATTAACTCTACAAGGTGTTTCACAGCACCTGCTTGCACAATCCGGTCCTTGTTTTCGTGAAATATGGACAAATTAAACAAGGCAGTGGCAGCATCTTTCTTCCCCCTTGGGGTTCCGTTTCCCAACAAATCAACAAGTGGTCCAATAGCCCCAGACCTCCCTATCCTGATTTTGTTTTCCTCAGTTACTGAGAGGCTGAAAAGAGTGGCAGCTGAATTTTCCTTGGCTTCTGCACTCCCTGTCTTGAGGACATGAATCAAAGGTTCAATTGCACCAGCATTTGCAATAGCAGCCTTGTTGTTATCATTGATTGATAAGTTAAGGAGAGCTGTAACAGAATTTTCCTGGATCATAGAATCAGTTGATTGCAGTAAATCAACTAATAAGCTAATGGCTCCACAATTTGAAATCACAATTCGGTTATCCATATTGTGCTTAGCAAGAAGGCGAAGTTCTGATGTTGCCTCTCTCTTAGCATCAAGAGAATCAATCTTTAACTGCTCCACTAATTTCAGAACCTGGGTTTCAGCAGCAGAAAGATCAGCTCTTGTTTCAATAGTAGACACTACCCTAGGAACAAGCCACTCAGATGATCGTTGCCATATAGTTTGGCTTTGAGACCTTGGCACTGCTAATTGGGAAGAAAACTCAGATTCTCTATGCCGAGTTGGCAAGCGAACAGCATCTTGCCCTGAATTCAATTCCCCAGAAGAAGCATCGCGATTGTGGACTGAACTGGTTGACAGCAGAGTATTGTTGACATCAGAAGTAGTTCTAACATCATTACGAGATTGTTCTGAGCTCAAGGCATTTCTGGATGGTGATGTTAATGATTCACCAAATGAATCGACACTCCCTTCATTTGAGCTGGCAGATCCATCATCTGAACCTGTGTGTGATATTCTTTCAAGATCCACATATGGCTCATGAACCGTGCCATTCAAAGAACCACCTGGAATAGAAGAGGGATGCAATGTTGATGTTTGTTCTTGGTGGGGTTCACCACTAGTTATACCAGGCAAATCCTTGGTCAAACCAGACTCCATAGACACATGAAAGGGAGATGGTTGATTTAAGCTTTTGGACTTAATGGGATCAGGAAGCTTTACATCATGTGTTTCACACCAGTTAGCAATTAATGCTTTTACAGTGTAGTTAGGTATTAGATTGGTGTGGACAAGAGTCTGGCGTGTCTTTGGACAGACAGTAAGACCTACGTCAATCCAGTTCTTGATGAAAGCCCGCTCATATGTTTGACCAGATGCCACAATGACCGGATCCGTCATCAATTCCAAAGACAGAGGACAGCAAAAATCAGCAGGTACTGACACTGGGATAGAACTCTGAGCTTGCTTAAGCATAACAATATGCTCATGCATTCGATTTACAATTGAGATCATTTTATCAACATATTCAACTTCTGAAGTGTTTTCAATTTGTTCAGCCTTCTCCTTCAGCTTGTCAAGGGCTACAGCCTCAATCAGGACCTCTTGATTAGACCTTAGACCCAGGTTGTCAGCAATGTTTTCCAGGACCTCTAAACTTGATACTAAACCTTCCTGTTGTTCCATAATAGCTTTTTTAATGGCTGATGATATTTCATTTCCCAAATTATCAGGGAGAACTTGCTGTGAAACCTCCAGCTGTTGTAAAATGCTTAGACCCAATGCCTGAATTGTTGATATTATGGCATCAACTTGATTAACCTAGAGATTAGAAAAGAGGAAAGCATGTTAATATACAATAGTTAACCCAAATAACATCTGTGATATGCAGGCCTGAAAAAAAAAAAAACTTGTACATAATATACTTCTATACCAGATGGAAATCCCATGTTAAATAAATATACTTCTAACCTCAGCACATCTCGTACAAGGATAATGATATGTAGTTAGACTCAATAAAAACTAGAACTTGGGTGAACATCTAGTACAAAGCAGAGCTTTGTCTAGGCACTGAGTGAAACGGCATAAAGAATAATGGAGGGGAAACCCTTGATTATAATATAGAGACATAACGAAACTTACAAAGTAAAATTTGCTAGATAACGGATGCCAGTTCAGAATAAGCTCTGTCAACTCATCAACTGCCAGACCAAGTTCCTCAAATAGTTTCCTATGTACTTCATTAGAAGCTATATCTGAAAAAACATTAGTATCAACAATAGGCTTCAACAGCTTAAGCATCTTCTCTGCCTTTTGGTAACATTTTGATACAGGTACTAACTTCATCTTTTCAGAAAATGATAAATGCAAAAATGAGGATATTGCATCAGATATGACCTTCAATAAAGATATCTCCATAATACCTGCACTATTAACAGAAAAATTGTTCAGTTGTATTACATTAGGAGACCAGACACTGGAAAAAAGAAAAAAATAAATAAAAAAACTTAATTTCTCATTTGAAAATGAACAAGCCAAGGAGAAAGGTCTCTCATCCAAGGTATCCCCTTTCTATGACAGATCTAATACTAAGTTACCAGTTGATACAAAAAAGAATGCAACCCCCTTCTATTCTATCTACACTGTTTAAGTTAAATCTATGTCTTTCCATCCTCTTTAATTAACTGACTAACTAATTGGCCTGGCCATTTATTGTAACTAATTTGAAATTATTAGTATTTGAAATCTTTAACGTATGTAAATTTGAATGGACAACAATTTAACAGCTCCGGCAATTAAATTATATAGGATAACATCAGATTTGAGGAAACTCTAAGACCTAACATAATAACAAACTGACAAGCCTTTAACACTAGAGAACTGTATTAGCGAACTGATTGTGTGAAGACCTAATCATGTGTTATTGGACTCTACATGACCTAATGATGCAATTACATGTAAATTTAGAAAAACAATTTTAGAAGAGGAAAAATCAAATTGCGGCAAAGGCAGGGAAAGAAGTGTTATTAGAGAGTAAAATTAATCAGTATGGAACCATTAGAACATTACAAATAGAGTCTAAATAGCCAATGAAAAGATGAAAGAAATTCAATGAAAATGAGAATCAATGCATAAGATTGCCACTCTAAAAGATTGCAAATTGTAGTGTTGATCAAATGGACCATTGGGTTTTACAAAACACAGATAATTAAATAATTTATAATGCATTTTCCCACCATGAAGTATTTCACTCTTGTGCACATGAAGCAAATGTCTGTTATCATTGGGAAACAATAGAACTTGAAATGCTAGCTAAGTTAAGCTAAAAGTACATTAGGATGAACTTAACACAATTCCAATAATAATATTAACAAAATCTTTTTCCCACACTAATGATATGGATAAAACAACAACATTGTGTTCTTTGAAAATCTAATTAGATCCCTATCGTTATTAACGGTTTCTCTTTATAGTATTCCTTGTTTTTTTTTTCTCTTCTTTTATTCATTAGATTATCACCCATGGCTCTATCAACTAAACATTTCATCATTGGGGCATTTATTGGTCTTCTCCAACAAATGACTAAATCAGATATGGCAAGATCGTAATCTTTTCCTTAGCAAGTGCTATATCACATTTTTTTTTATCTTGTCTACATCATCTGTTGTCATAAAATCTCAAAAAAGTTGTATGCTAACAATTGATTAGGCAACACAGCCAACCTCTTGTACTAAGGCAAGACACATGCTATGTAACACTCGTCAACAACCAAGCACAACATATGCAAAGTTTGGCTCAATTCAACTCAATCGGAGGAAGAAAAAAAGGCATGCAAACACAGCTTCACTCCAAATTACTGATAACCAGAGTAGTTTACTTGAGCTCAAGTACAGTGCAGTTGGGAATATAAAACCAGTCAAAAGTTCTGAGTTTCAAGCAGAAAAAAAAAATCATTGCACAACAGTGAACCAAACCAAGCAAGACCAACCAATTTCCAGAATAAAAAATGAATAAAATGCTACAGGAAAGGAGCAACCAATAACCAACACAAAGCAAACGCAGCAACATATGGTCGAAGAGCACAATTAGAAACTCAACACAAGCACTAACCATTTTGGTAAAAATGCAACCTTTTGTCCGAATGAAAGCACAAACTGGCGAAATAAGGTGCCAAACTCAAAATCATATATAAAAAATAACATTGAGAGTTAAGAAACATGGGTTTTACCAAAAAAAAAAGGAGATTGAGAGGAGAAGTACTATAAGGAAAATAGTTCCCAGTTGAAAGTGACAGAAGGAGAAGAATTGGTTGACAGCACCGCAGAAATGCGCTCTCCGGCTACCGTTGGAATGGGAGGAGCTGGGATGGGCAGTGGTGGTGCTAAAATAAATGTAGAGAATTTTGGGGAATTTGTATTCTTCTAAGCTACGCTTGGACTTGTAGGAATAAAACGTGTGAAAAGTCACCTATTATAGTTATGAAGATAAGAACATGTTTGCATTATATCTTCCAAGGAACTTCTATGATTAAAAATAAAAATTTGCATATTAATTTTTTTATATATAAATTTATTTATAAAAATTATGTAATTTTTCAAACTTTTATATATATATATATATATATATATATATAT